CTGCTTCTCTCTCTTTTTCTTTTTTTTCTTTATTCTCTTCCTCCCGGGGAAGTTTTGCTGGGAGAGCAAATTTCTGAAATATCTGGCACTTTATTTTTTTTTTTTTCCTTTTTCCGTCGAGACTGGCAGTGGCTCGCTGTTAACCAGAGGAGTCTGGAGACGTTTATAGCAAAGCTGGTGGACGCTTTTCCTTTTCAAAGCTGGAGTCTCCTGAAGAAATATGAAACACTTCTCAGTAATGAAAGGCATGTGTTCTGCGAGGGAAACTTTTCCCCATCTGCCTTGTAGCGCAGGAGGAGCAGACGTGAGGGCTAAGATTTCCGAGGAAAAGGTGGCTGTTATACCAAGCTGTCCAGTTTGGGTTCTGCTCATACTTTACACCAAAAGTTCCTCTCAAGTTTTTCCCATTCAGAGTCACTTTGTCATTACTTTTATAATTTTCAAAGTGGTGGCATTATTGTACTACTTGTTGCTCATCTGAATAATAATTAAAAAAAAATCTCTTACACAGCTCTAAAAGCGTGGACTTGCTACGGGAACAGGTCTGACACATCATGCTACCTAAAGTTGGCTCTGAATCTGGCCAGACTTAAAAGAGGCATGTCTTTTAAATAATATGAAAATCTCTGACTTGATATGAATAGCTATCACACTTGCTAAAAGGAGAGACGGTTATGTAGCTTTTTTTTCCTGTAATCGCAAGATGGATTTGCAAAATACCTCTGCAGCCATGAGAATTGTACGTGGGAACAGAAGCTTGCTTAAACCTTATGTTTAATGTAAACTTCAATCTACTTGAGGTGTTTGAAATTGCTTAATTATCTGTGTTATTTGTATAATCTCGTGTGTGCTCTTATAGGTACTGACTTTAAACAGTAAACACATATTAGAGCAGTTAATTTGTGTTAAATTCTGAAGTTTTCTCCCCTTTCCCCGTAGTGTACACTCCCTGGAAGGCCTGTCAGATTAATTACAAAAACAACTGCGTTGACCACGTTTCCTCTGATATTTTAAATTGCAAAGAGAAATACAGCAGAAATAATGGAGAAATAATTGAAGTGCATTAGAATAACACCTTTTGAAATACATAGTAGGAGTGCTCAAAAAAAAGTGCTCCTTCTTCACTTGGTCTAACCAAATACATATGCAGGATAACCTGTTTCAACCTGCATTTTTAGATAGTAATAACTTTTTTTTAGCTAAAAATAGTTTAAGATTTTTGCTCTAGATATGTCTGCAACCCATGTTAACTTTTTAGCTGTCATGTTCCACTTTGGTTTTTTTTTTCCCTGTAGTGTTTACCATGTAGTGTAAACATTGAGAATTTCTCCTGATGTTGAGAGAATAATAGCAGGCATTGTGTGAGCTGCTGGAACTGTACCTGAATCCTCCACCTGGAGTTTGCTGCTTTGAAATGAATCGCTTAACCTGACATGGGGAAATTTGCAGTAGCATTCCGTTTTTTCTAAGCAAAAGGAATGCAGGTAGTTGCTTAGTTATACCAATATAATCTCCCATAAATTTATGTGTTTTTGTGGTGGAACTATTACGGTTTACTGAACAAGAGCAACGCCTTCGAGATAACTGCACTGAGATTTGTAGATGAACTTTGTTACTGAAATCTTTTAAAATCTCTTCACTTTTCTATGTCTTTCCTTTGATTGCCTTTAAACATTATAAGAGAGCAGACTGAAAGCCCACATAACTTCTTTCAGGATGTTTTCCTTTCTGAGACAGACTGTGGTACACCATGGTTTCTTGTTCAGTACAATCTACACAAAGAAAATTCATCCTATCAGATCAAGGCTGTCTGTTATCTTAAGAGACAGGATGCTGCATACAGCTTGGTTGTTGATGCAAGCAGGGATGTTGCTCATGGTCTCTGTCACATCAGGTGTTTTTGCAATTGTATTCGAACGTGGTAACATTTCATGGTAAAGAAGAGATCTCAGGGTAAATGTAAAGAACTTGATTCTTAAGGTTTCCAGAATAAATATTCAGGGAAGAAACTTTTCTCATGAAATAAGCATGCATCATAATGACCCTTTGAAGTAGTTTCTGCATACCGGTGATTTTTATGCAACACTGTGTACTTGCTGTACAAATTAAAATAACTTCAAACAGTCAAAAACCTTTATAATACTTCAGTTAAGCATTGTAATGTAAAGCAGTATCATCTTGAAAGAAGTTTTGAATCTTGCCAGTACAAATATATATATTTCTATACTAATCAGCATTCATTTTTTCCTTCTTCACCTTCCCCCTCTCCCCCCCCCAATTTTTAAGGGTTTCATCTTTGGCTTGTCAAATGGACATGAAGCATCACTGAGCGTTAACTGCGAGAGCTCTTTAAGCACAGCGGCTGCTGGGATGTTGCGGCAGAACGGTGGAAGTAACAAGCGTGGTTTGGGATTAGCCCGGCTGTCTACCTCCAACTTCTTCACCATCTCTAATTCAGGAAATTGGGGAATGGGGCGCAGCACCAAGAGTAGCTCTCTGAGCAGCATTAGCTCCAACTCTGACTGCTATGACAATCCTGTTGTGGACCCGGAATACATCATGCAACTGGTGAATGATGTCAGAAAATTTGCAGATGTGCTACTCTATTTGAAGGAAGCCATTCTTTCAGAAGGTGTGTCTGTTCTTTATTCTTAATTCTTGCATTTTCTGAAACTCTCACAACTCCAGTCATGTGTTTTTAACTAGTCTTTACTGTGATTATTCCCCCTTGCCCATTACCTTCCCCCTTAATTCTCCCCCTTCCCCTCCCCCAGCATGATGGTTACGGGAAATGGTGGTTGTTAGTTTGAGTTCTGTATTTCCTCATCATAACACTGTGCAATCTCTTTCATAATCATAACAAGGGAAAATAGGTTATTAGCAGCCTGTCTAGGCTGATGCTAGAAGTTAGTGAGACCGTCAAGTGATTAGTTTTTAACTACCTGGATGGTTTTGGTAATTCCAAAGAATTCTGTTAATATTTGCGTGATGTTTCCATTTTCTAGGCTGGTTTGGTTTTTGAAAGCCTTATGTGTTAATAGTATGAGTTCTAAGGTAGGATGTAACTTTTTGCACTTTCTTCCTCTAGGAGATAAGTATTTACCATCTTCTGCCAGCAGGTGGAAATGCAAATTTTCTTGCTTAGTAGGAATGTGCATTGTTGTGTGTTCCTGTTCCTTTAGGGGAATAGCATTAATCCATTTTTTAGGAAAGCTTTTATCTAACCTCTACAACAATGTTATCGTGTTAATAGCTGAAATTACATCCAGAGCAGTTTTGTTTAATGTGTCCTGAGTGCTGAGTATTTGCAGTCAACTCTGTTTCAAGTGAGTTGCACACAGCTGAAATAACTCTGCCAAAAGATGTGAAAAAATCTTAACAGAACAATAATTTGAGGCTAGTGATCGCTTCATGTCAACAGTGTTTTTGCTGAGCATGCAGGATGAGCAGAGCTGTTTGTCAGATGGGGTGTCTGGTGCCTACTGACACTGAAATGGGCATCCTGTAGGAAAGAACTGTTAAAATACTCAAGTGTTCCAGTTGCCATGCAGGAGTTGTTAATTAATATTCAGTTTAAATTTTGGACTCAGATCTAAAAAACTAACGTGGAAGACAGGAGTTGTCATCTTGTTTTCTACTACATTGTGGAATTACTTTGTGGAATAGTGTTGTCTGTTTGAAGGCTTGTAAATTTATAAAGGAGAGATGTTTCCTTTCCACAGTTGGTTGTGTTCTTTTTGACCTTGCTTCCTGCTAGCTGGAGACAACCTCCTGGAAGCTGCGTAGTTTGGACTGCATTTCTCCATCTTATCTTTGCAAATGTTTACAGTTGTGTGTCCAAAAGTTTCCAGAAACTTGCTAAGGTGGTTGAACAAACTTCTTCCACATAGCATTCTGGTTCACAGTGGTTGCATCTTACCACCATCCTGAAATTAGTTTCTTCCTTTTTGGACAGCATTAATCTGTTGGCTTGATGTAGATTCTGTTGAAGAGTAAAACTTTGTTCTGAAGTTTATGAAATAAGAACTAAAAATAAATTCTGCTGCTAGCTACAGGAAAAAAGTTATTTTGATGTATATATGCTGCATGTATCTTCAAGCAGTTCAGAAGTGGCAGATCTAAGTGGTGCAACAGGGTTGCATTGGTGAGCTCTTGTATTTGCCTGGCAAGCATTCCTAGAGTCTACTGTTGGTCTTTCAGCCTCTAGCTACTATTCCCTCGGTTAGCTTCTACATCTACTGTTAATTGTAGTACTGCCACTTTGGCAAATTTGTCTAAAAACTCCTTTCTCATGCACAGTAACTTCACTCTTGACTATGTTGCTCCCTGTTTGCTGGGGCTGGCCATTCCACTGCTGGGGTCTGCATTGGTAGATAGGCTGATTCCTGTGGGTGTATGCCTTGAATTTCGTACCGACTGATGGTTGTGTTCCCTGCTTGTGTTATCTGAGCTGCCTTGGAAGAACCCAGCAGTTATTCACCCATGGTTCGCTTAATATTCTCCTGATGTACTGATACTATCTTGGGTGAAAAATCTAAGCTGTTTGGATTATAACATGTATTCATGTCTGAACTAGATCATAAGTGCCTTTGGATTGTAGACGTGTACCGTGTTTTGTACAGTACTGATGCAAGTAAATATATAACGTTGAGATCTCTTTTAAAGTGAAAGTGTTTTATAACTGAACCTTTCTATAGATTTCAATAATAAATTGAAATTAATTAAATTTATTCAATTTAATTTCTTACAGTAATCTCATTGTCATAATGCTGAATAAATGTTGGCTATTGCTTTTCAACAAAGGTAAACTGACCGTTGTGACTTAGTTTGATTATTTTTAGACTCTCACCCAACAGTGTTTGTTGTAGAAATTGAAATCTAAAAAACTTGGAATCTGCTTGCTGGCACCAAGTTAGGAATATTGTTTCTTAATGATACCTCACATAAAAAACCAAAACAACTCCACCCCCCCTAAAAAAAAAAAACCAAACAACTCAAACCCACAAGCAAAAAGTCCTTTGAATATAACTGTAGAGTTGAAAAGTTTGTCAGCTGTTTGGACACGAGGGAGCTGCAGTTGCCTCTTGTGTTGAGTGAAATACCATGTGTTCCATACACTTCAGTTCTTACTGTCTTGTTTTAAATTCCCCTTTGAATCTAGGCATTGTACTCACTGGATGTAACAATCTGTTATTAGCAATCCAACTTGAGGCATAGGATCAAGATACTTTACCAATGTCCTCATTAAAAAAGAGGTCTGGTCATTTTTTTTGAACCTAAGTCAGTGAATCCAATACTGTTTCACAAGAATTTTTTATTTAATTCTATTTGGTGACAGACTGACAACTGTAGTGGTTGAACTGCACAAACAGTGCATCAGTCTCTTGCTCCAGTCTTCAGTTAAATTTCCAGATGAACAAGATTATGTCATATGGCTGATATTAGTAAGGATAGCTATAGTCATCATGTCTTCGTGTTTGAACTGAACGGTCTTCTTCATTTGTAGCATTTGTACTTTGGGGTCAGAGATAATTGAAATATATTGAGGAGACTCAAAATAAGTCAATCTTGTTTCCTTTCTGATAAGAAGAAAATGAAAACAGTTTGTTAGAAATCCCTGCCTGGAACACCAAACTTGAGAGTATATGTTGAATTAATACGTGGAAGACTTGGATCATTACCAGCAGTCTGTGATGCTCTTAAGACTGTTCATTTGAGTTTTAATTTTTCTTTATGACATTCTGTATTCTTGATGCCCCCCAGGTTTAGTTCTTGTTTCAGTTTTAATGTACCTCCTAAGTACAAACTATTAAGACATAATGGCTTGAAAGCTGGTGAGTTTTCTCTTTGTATTTTTAGTTCCATTAGTAACTTTTCTGTTTTCAGTTGAGAGTGTGAGAACCTAATTGTTGCCTTCAACTTGCACTCCTCTGAAAAAGCAGGATGTGTACAGCAAAGTACAATCTAAAGGCCAGAGCTGTCGGTGATCTTCAGAGGTAGTGGCACTCAAGAAGAGAAGTAACTTTCCGTGGTAGAGAATATTTTAGGAACTAACCATGGAGACCTGCTGAGGGCTTGACCATCTGACCACAGTATTGAAAATACTTAGGAGTTTGAAATGTGTGAGGTATACTTAAGCTAAATCCCTTAACTTGAAGAGGGTTAGTTCTTGTCCCAAAGCACAAGTTTAATGCATCTGCAAGTAAGCGCTGTTGAATTTTGAAGCTGGGTGAGTTCTATGTGCATAAGAAGTCCATTCAGAGAATAGGAGATGTGAGCTAACTGCTATATACTGTCCAATCTTTTCAAAATATAAGTTTTTGTATACCTCATGGAAGTTGTATAGAAAGCATGTAAGCCCCCTTGGGACAAAACATGCAGGACCTACCTCTTACAAACTTCTGTTAGAGGATTTATAGGTTCAAAAATATTATTGCTTATTGCATAGATATTTAAGAATAGGTATTTGTATATGAGATTGGTGACACTACAGTCTGTGCTGTTACTGTGTATAATAAATTCTACTGTTGCTTTAAGCAAATGATGCCACTGTGTGGTCTTTGCTCAAATGAGATTCATTTACTCAGGTTTAAAAGGACCACACAAAATAATATTCCTAATTAAAAGATATTTTACTAGGTGTTTAACTTTTAAACAGTAAATAGTAGCTTTCACTTGTATCACATCAGAGATGAGGGAAACATTCCTGTTTTCCTAGTCTGAAGATAGTTAGCAACTAGTTTTGTGACATCTGCTATTTATTTTTTTTAAGGAATGTAATGTATGCTTCATACTGTAAGGTCTGCCCTTGGGACTGTGGGAAATGTTGTGTTTCGTTATGAATAGCTGTAAGGGTAAAATTTGCACCTGGTTTAAAAGTGCGGGAGTAATTATACTTTATATTTTAATATATAATCTTCTTGACAGTACTTCGGAAGATATTCAGGAACTATGCTTGCTTTATCACAAACTTTGAAGTAATCTTCAAAGTGTGGTATTGTGTGCTTCATGTGGGTAATTCTGCATCCTTTTCATGAGCAAAAACTTTTTTTCCTCAAGTTCATCCTATCTTGAGCTAATGTAAATTGTAGCATATTCTAAAATGTTAATATACCCTTTTTTTCCAGATACCTTAGAAAACGTTTAGAATAGCAAGATAAAGCTGTTACCTTTCATCACAAATTTCTCTTTGAGGATCAGATTTTGCTGTCTCATTTCTTAGAGTTTGGTAAGATTTAAAAAAAAAAAAAAAAAGGCAAAAAAACCCCAAACAAAACAACAAACCTGAACCAGAGGTTAAAATACTGGCGAAGCTGGATGGCCTGGTCAGGAATGTCTGCATCCTCTTTATAGTAGTACCGATACTTTCAAAAGGATCAGGAATGCTACCTAACTTGAAACCTGTTGGGTCCTTATTTTTGAAGGATATTTTTGAAGGATTCAGCCCAGTGGGGCAATTTTAAAGGTGTGTCACGTTAAACAGTTCTCTCAAAATGAGGAACTTGTAATCTCTAATGACTCCAAAACCTTGTTTTAGCACCATGGAGACTGATATTAATCGCATGCTACACTAAAAGCCAGAAGCTGTCTCCTGAATATAGTGCCTGAGGGTCAAAGATGAATAATTTCTCT